TATACAACAAGACGCTCTGCGGAGCGTTAACTCGCTGGGGCTACACAACTGACGCACATTACTGTTAAGATCTAAAGGCTGATTTCCACTGGCACTGTTGCGTTTTTCGTACTCACGTACACGCACGTAAAACTTTGAATCCTTCTATTTTTAAATATTTTACAAATAAGTTAACAAATTCATACTAAAACTTGCGGAGCAGTAAATTCTGTTGCTTTATTTATTTGGTTATTTTACAAATTTAAAGTTTTACGTGCGTATATTAAGCCTGGTGTGGAAATTAAGCCTGGCCCCCAGCTAAAAGGGGAAACTTCCGGCGTTTATCATTGCCCACAAGTAAAGTTATATTTTATAGTACGCTACATTCTTCTGTCGGCCGCCAGTTTAAAACGTTCAAAATAAAATTTTTGGGGGGCTTTTGGGCTCAAAATATTATCAGAATGAAGAGAGAAGTGAGACGAATCCACTGGTGTACGGTCGAAAAAGAAAAAAAACAATGATACCAAAGTTATCAAGGATCAAACGTACTGCATCTTTTATTATTTGAGCGATTTGTGAACAAATAATACAATTTCACTTGGCTTTCAAAGACAAAGTCAGAGACCATAAATCGCTAGAATACTGTTGTTAGTTGTTTAGTAATACATTTGACATCCGTAGATACAATTTCTCATCCCGATCCGTAAGTACAATTTCTTACGCTGAATCGAACGATGGTATTTGTATTCTTATTGCGCCATTAATTAGGCAATACAAATACAAGGTCAAGGACAAACGTACTGCGAGTGATTTGATGTCAACAATAAAATTTCGCTTGATTTTCAAAGGCCATAAATCGCTAGAATACTGATGTTTAGTAATACATTTGACATCCGTAAGTACAATTTCTTACGCTGAATCGAACGGTGGTATTTTTATCCTTATTGCGCCATTTATAAGAGGCATTACAAATACAATATCATGTTTCGCACTGAGTACACTACAAACAGTTTTCACGGACTGTTGTTCGATAAATTTTATATTGATATGACACCAATATGCTTCTCATGAAGTAGTTAGAACTTAAACTGCACAACGTAGTTTTAATAAATAACCTTTTACCTTGTGTTTGGGTCTTTATATTCAGATTCAGTATATTATGATCGTGCACGGGAATTCAACGATCCAAATTTCGGATTTTCAGAGTCGTGCACCAAGAAAAACGCATTAAATAAACTAGCATGAATGTCCAGAGTTAGACACAAAGCAAAATCCATAGAAAACAGGTACAATTCGGCCAAAATTTTCACGAAATGGGAATGAAACATTTTGCCCACTCCACGAAAGACCCCGCCATTTTGAAAAGGATCACGCAGCTCATTAATATTCTATTTTGTGGCTATCGACGATCCATGATCCGTGATCCGTGACAAATGCAAGCCGAAACCTATACTCGTCTGGGGCACAGGTGCCCCAGCGAGTAATAATAATAGTTTATTAGGTACGGTGGCCCACAACTGTCACACTATATATTTAGCTTCAACCAAATTAAAATTGCTCACATCAAATTAAAATTGCTCACATCAAATTAAAATTGCTCACATCAAATTAAAATTGCTCACATCAAATTAAAATTGCTCACATCAAATTAAAATCCACTCACATCAAATTAAAATTGCTCACATCAAATTAAAATTGCTCACATCAAATTAAAATTGCTCACATCAAATTAAAATTGCTCACATCAAATTAAAATCCACTCACATCAAATTAAAATTGCTCACATCAAATTAAAATTGCTCACATCAAATTAAAATTGCTCACATCAAATTAAAATTGCTCACATCAAATTAAAATCCACTCACATCAAATTAAAATTGCTCACATCAAATTAAAATTGCTCACATCAAATTAAAATTGCTCACATCAAATTAAAATTGCTCACATCAAATTAAAATCCACTCACATCAAATTAAAATTGCTCACATCAAATTAAAATTGCTCACATCAAATTAAAATTGCTCACATCAAATTAAAATTGCTCACATCAAATTAAAATCCACTCACATCAAATTAAAATTGCTCACATCAAATTAAAATTGCTCACATCAAATTAAAATTGCTCACATCAAATTAAAATTGCTCACATCAAATTAAAATCCACTCACATCAAATTAAAATTGCTCACATCAAATTAAAATTGCTCACATCAAATTAAAATTGCTCACATCAAATTAAAATTGCTCACATCAAATTAAAATCCACTCACATCAAATTAAAATTGCTCACATCAAATTAAAATTCGCCTCGACCTCGTGGTGAACTTGTGATGTTGTGATGATGAAACTGATCGGTTAATCGAGTCCCATGCTGGCCATGCATGGCACAGAATATTACACGGTATGTTTTGCAGCAACTGTGGTTCACCCTTCAATGAAGGAAAGTTTTGTAGGAATTGTGGGCAAGGTAAGTTCTAAATATTACTTAATAAACTTTTACTCTGCATCGTTTACTAGCGTTTATATTGACATACTGTATAAATTGATTGTGAAGGTCTTTTTCTTGGTTGTTTACTTTCCCAATATTTAATTCCGATATGTTTTCAAAG